TCAGAGCACTCGAAATCGCAGTCCAGAAGCTGACAGCAGACAAAGAGAAGGCCACCGCTGAAAGACTCGAGATGCTGGGACTGATCTCCCAAACGCTAGACGAAGTCAGAGCTCAGAAGCGAGACAGAATCGCAGAAGCTGCGCACCACACCAAGCTGCTAGCAGAAGTAAATGAAGCAAGCAAGAAACTACAAGGCCTTCTGTCACAGCTGAAAACAGAACAGGACCAGGCAGCAGCCTACCGACAAGCCGAGAGAGAAGAAAGGAAGGCAGAGACGGCCTTACTTAACGAAGCCAGAGAGTCCGCTTACAGAGAAGTCGCCCTGCTAGTAAAAACAAAAGCAGAAGCAGAAGCAGCTACACGAGAGGCAAAACAAGAACGTGAACTCTTACTAGCAGAGAAAAACAAGGCACCAGCCGCAAAACCAAACAACAGCAGGGCTGACAAAAGTACAGAAACAGAAACCGAAGAGGAAGGCACTGCCAATGAAGAAGACTCTGAAGAGATCCTAGTCATAGCAAAAGAAGAAGATTCTCAAAGAGATGAAGAAGAGGAACAGGAAGCAGTACAATCCACGAACCAGTACTGCGATCCCGTACACGCGGCTGCATTGAAGGACATAGCGGACAGAGAAGTCAGCCTACAAGAAATGCTCGATGATTTTAAACCAGCGGATGCACCCCCATCGACTCGAGCAGGGCATTGGCAAATACAGAATACAGTTCTATCAAGGAAGAACTCGCAAGGGAGCGATTACTCCCAACCGCAACTCTCAGAGCCAAACGAGACAAAAACAAAAGGATGATGTATCAAGCAGGCATAGCCCTCAATCTTCTAAACGCTGCTCGAAGGGAATTAAACGAAACCATGCAACCAATAGCCAACCAGAACTGACCTCAGCCGCCATGACACCGACCCAGCTTACCGAACCGGAAAACCCACCCGCGCAAGACCATCCGGACACCACCAGAACCTGACTGCTGCAGAAGCCATACCCCTCCCATCCCGTTCCAGGCCACCCGGCACAGGTGGCTGTCCTTCTCAGGACAGCCACGCCCACTCCCTAAACTTTGCAAGCCGCACGCCAAGCCCAAGCTGCTAAACAATTCGCAACCAATTACAGAAACTCAGGCGAAAATGATCGCCACAAGAAAAAATTCAAGTCAGACCACAACTGAAACCGACTTTGATATAGCAAGCCGTCAGGCAGCTGAAAGAAGTCACAAGTTTGGAATTTTTGTTCTTATGAATCCTGATCCTGATCCAGTTCTCTCTCTTAGGCTCCCTGGTTTTAGGACGAGAAACATGTAGTTTTGATTTGTCCGTTGCGTTCAATGGTTCTACGCAACGTGGGTTGAGATGAGTAGAGAAAGATAGGTTCCATCTATTGTAGGGTATTTTCTAACACGTTGTGAATTGAAATGCATTATTATTTGTGAAGACCTTAGATGATGTTCAGTGAAATAAATAGATGTGAATGTGAAAATGATAGTCCCAGCTTTTTGATTCGGATTAGTACTTGTGGCTAGTGTGCGTAATTTATTTATTTGTTACCAGTCTTATTAGACTTTACACAGAAGATCTCGTGCCTGGACTAGAATATTCTTGTTTCTAGTCCCCACCTAACGAACTATTTTAATTTATTTTTATCTTAGTACTTAGGGCTTCTCCACCCTAGTACAAATGGCGTCGTCGGCAGGATTTTGGTGGCCATTAGATAATTTGTGTCTAGCCTAGTTAGTTCAAGTAATAATAGTAGTTCATAGTTTAGATTGATTTTTAAATGGCGCCCAACTTGTGGGGCTTCTATATTGCAGTCTTTTGTTGATATTTGTTTAGTTAGATGTGACAGGATTTAATTCACAAAGGAGTTCTAGTTTGTGCAGGTAATAGTAGTGATTTTTAAATTTTAAATTCGGGTTTTTATGGCGCCTACGTGTTTTTTTCTTTCAGACTTTAAATATGTTAGCCCACGTGTGTGGTTTCGTTATCGAAGACTTGGGTTGTTCATAGTTAGGTTTTATATCATCTTGTTCACGGATGAGTAGCGTTGTGGAGTAATTTAATTAGCCAGGTCTAGACGGCTCAGATTATCGCGTCTTGATTTTAATTTGGTTTAGGACTTGTGTAGGTTCAGCCTGTGTAGTTTTATTGTGTGACCAGATGTTAGTTTTGTTTTCACTAGCAGTAGTCGGCGTCTATTGTTAAGTTAACTAGGAGTGGTCAGTGTCTATTGTCGACTAGGAGTGGTTTTGTCTATTGTCCACGGAGTGACTTGTTTACGTCTCGACCTGAACTTGGGGTCAGTTTATCTTGATTTATGTCTCCACATCAAGGTTTAACTGTAGGTCTGTTTGTATAGTAGGGAGCCTTGTTTAAAGTACACCGACCGAGCCACTTAAGCAATGACGTTTTTTAACATTGCTGGTACCAGTTGAAACATTGTAGGCTTCGGCCGAGGTAATTTCGTTCCATTCTCATTGTAGGCTTCGGCCGAGGTAATTGTTGAATGTCACTTGGAAGCCAAGCGGTGTTGGCAGTGACGAGAGGATTGTCTCTTGATGGCCGAGCGGCCGAGACATTGGCAAAAGTGGTAACGTGTCCAATCAGTCCATTGTAGGCTTCGGCCGAGGTAATTGTTGAATGTCACTTCGAAGCCAAGCGGTGTTGGCAGTGACGAGAGGATTGTCTCTTGATGGCCGAGCGGCCGAGACATTGGCAAAAGTGGTAACGTGTCCGATCAGTCCATTGTAGGCTTTTTCAAAGCCGAGGTAATTGTAGGCCTTCCATGAGGCCGAGGTAATGTCCGATATGTCTCTGATGGCCACGCGGCCGAGACAAGAGTGTGTTATGTCTCTCGAGGGCCACGCGGCCGAGACAATGTCCATTGTAGGCCTTTGGCCGAGGTAGTAAACGAAAATGTCCGTTTGTAGGCTATGCCAAAGCCGAGGTAATTGTAGGCTATGCCAAAGCCGAGGTAATGTCCGATATGTCTCTCGAGGGCCACGCGGCCGAGACAAGAGTGTGTTACGTCTCTCCAAGGCCCCGCGGCCGAGACAATGTCTTTTGTAGGCCTTTGGCCGAGGTAGTAAACGAAAATGTCCATTGTAAGCCCTGCGGCTGAGGTATCAAATACGACAACTTATCTACGGAGAATTACTGGACGTCGGAGAGGAAATCCAACTGATCAAGAATCCGGATGTTAACTGATTACTATGTTTTTATTGCAGTAACATGTATTTTTTTTAAAGGTTTTGCTTGTTGTGTTTTAGTAGGATGTGGTATGTGTTTAACGCATTGTTCTAGCGAGGAGCGGATTAATTGGGGGTTTGTTCTACTCTGATGGTGTCTCGGACCCAAGCGCACATGCTAACGTGTTCCGATGATATCGCCATTATTGATGTAGAGGGGGGATTTGTAGTGATTTTGCAGATGGTAGCTGAAACTCGAACGCAAATGTTCACTGGATGTTTCATGACTACTGCCATCTTTGTAATTTCTTATTTGGGACTTATACGTTCCTTATCCAGTTTCCTTGGGACGAGTCATGCTTTGACCATATATCGATGTCAGCTATTTTTGAGTGAATGTTATTAGTGGTACTGCAAGAGACTAGTGATTACGTAATGTAAGGGGATGATTTTATTTCAGGTGGCTATGGCCAGTAACTCTGTTGGATGTAGAACAGGAGTTTAGACAATTGATGTTACATATTGTGTGGTTGCCGGGACGTCAACAAAAATAATAATCCGACGTGTAGTAGGGTGGAAGCGACGAAGACTACAGGACAACAGATGAAAGGTCTTTGAGAGGTTTATCCTGGTTTAAAAATGCTAACCGGCCTTTTGAGAAACATTGGCAGTTAATAAAGTATACGAAAGATGGGTAAAAATCTGGCTCGCTGGGTATAAAAGATTTTGTCTAGTCTCGCAGCAATCTATTCGACTTCCGGACCAACCTGTGGAAGCCTGACCCAAGAAGACTGATGCTTTGCACAATGGGCAGGTCTATGGGTATGGCGACCACAGGTAACGTTCGTGGTCGGACTGATGGCAGTCAAGGGTACGTTCAGTGGTTAGTTGGTTAAAAGAGGTTTTCATTGGTATTCTAGACAAGGAATAGTTAAATGGTAAATTGCTGTATGTTTGAGGTTTTGTTTCAGCACGTGGTCGTTTATGTCGTTACTTTTGGCCATGCTGATGTGAAGTTCAATAAAAATTATGTTCAACGTTGTATTCATAGTTACAGTTGTTTCCTTCAGCTTAGGACTAGTAGTTAGTGTGCTTAGTAGTTTTCTAGTTTAGTTTATTATTACCTGACTTATTAGACTCTACACAGAAGATCTAATGCCTGGACTAGAATATTATTGTTTCTAGCCCCCACCTGAACGAATCTATCTATTTCCTATTTTCTTTCCTCTTTTTTTAATAGTAGTTCTATGGGGCTTTCTGGCCCTGTTACAATATATATATATATATATATATCCTATGATATGTACTTCCACTGTTGAATATTATATATATATGTATCCTTTGAGATCTACTTCCACTGATGAATATATATATAATCAGGATACCGCCCCCTCGACCGTCCCAGCGCGGGGTTCCCTGCCTCATTTGATGAAGGCAGCTACTGCCCCTTGTCTGTCCAAGCGCTCGCTAGGGGGCGGTAGTGCCCACTTTGCGAAATACATGTTTACCTGGTGCTTTTGCCTTTAATGATTCATAAGTTGTCAATGATTTACATTCAAACATGTCCGTTTTAAGCTTAGCTCTATTCACAATTTAGAGGGACAGCTCTCTACCTGCCCCCCCCCACCCCACCCTCCCCCCACCCCCTTCGTTTTAAACCACATCTCCCACACCTTCTTTTATAGGGTGCAAGTGGGAGGGGCTCGGTGTGCCAAAGCGTTAAGTTTTCTTCACCCCTGACTAAAGGGCTATTTTCTATTTATTATCTCTAGTGTACTTTATCATCCCCAGACCCGCCGTCTACTCACGACTGTGTTGATCCTTGTGTATATAGTGGATTTGGCTGACATTCTTTTCAAAAACGGGTGCTTTGCTCGAAGAGAAAGTCAGGGGTATTGTCCAGCGATAGCTGCGAAAATAAACATACACAATACAATTAACTCATTTAGTGTGATGTTACTGTGAATAATGATACTATAAAATAGACTGGAGGAATGACACCTCGTATACCATTCATCGAGAATCAGCACAACAGCAGATCAAATGGTCTGGTTACCTCGTCAGAATCTAGCATTATTAAATAATATTACAGACACTACATCTTAGACGATCAGCTTGAAGCAAAAGAAGATTCAACTGGCATTCTGTGGATTTTTTTTTTTTTTTTTTTCAAGTATCCAGAAGCCATGAGTTGTTAACCCTTTGGCTCGGTATTATGGATATCGCAACCCATCGGCTTTGATTCCACGATAAATACCGTAAATCTGGGAGAAATGTGGCTTTTCTGCCTACCCCTGGGCTTGAACCCGGACCACAAGGAGTTCGTCACCCAGTCACCGCGCAGTCCGGTTTAGCCAACTACGCTAGCGAGTCGGGCACATTTCGTGGATATATTAAACATTCAACAGTTCTAAGTTTATTCATCAGATGATTTTTAAAAAAAAAATCCTAAACAGGAAAGACACGGATAAACAGAATAAACCAATCAAATAGTGTTATGTATTTCTCTTATGTGTACCTACTCCCAGATCTGCACTCACACACGTATCTGGACAATCATGAAGATCAGGATCGGGGGAACTGATAGAGATATTAAATGCGAATACAAAAGGCGACAAGAAGTTTCATAGAACTAGAGCATTTGTGTAGGTCAACTAAGATTAAAACTAATGCACAATTTAATTTTTTTTTTCCTGTTTAATTTTTAATGTCAAATCAGCAATGTTGTGTGGGGAGGAAACATGGAGAATAACAAAATTAAATACTAATAAAATACAAACATTCATTAACTGGTGCCTGTGCAGAATAGAAGGAATTAAAAAGTATCACAAAGTCACTGATGCCAAGCTTTGGGAGAGAATTAAACTTGTTCCAGGGAACCAAGAGGTGAAGAAAAGACGCTGGCGTTGGATAGGACACATTGAGAGCTCCTGAGAACAATATAACTAGACGCACTGGGGAAAGAACGGTGCATAAAAAATAAAGGCAAACCAAAAGACATATGGAGAAGACAGCTAGAGAGAGAAAGGTACATTGAAATAAAGGCAGACCGAAAGACACACAGAGAAGAGAGCTAGAGAGTGATGATAAAAAAGATGGGCAGGACATCGGGAGAGCTACATGTGATAGCGAAGGATAGAACTACCTAGCATGCGCTGGTTGAGGGCCTGTGCTCTACTTGCAGATAGAGGGTGGAAGGAGAACAATTATGCTTCGGCTTTGGAGGACACAGTCTGCAGACGCCTCAGATAATTCCCTTCTTTCTAATGCAGCAGTCGGCTCTGTGGCTAAGTCGATGCGAACTCTTCATAATGCAGGGTTCGATCCCAGCTGCGGGCCATGCGCCTTGCGTTGGTTTTGACAGTGGTATCAAGAAAGCCGACCGTCCAGGAGCAATGGCAAACTACTGGATGTAAATATGCATAGAAAAACCACACATCAGCCAGGCGCTGTTTGGGTTTTTTCAGCAACGTCCTGTAAATAATACGCAACTAATTAACCTAATGCAGCAAGTCTCAATGAATTATTCTTGCATTAGGAAATCCAGAAAATAAAATGTTTTTACTTGTAACTTAAACCTTTTTAGATGTTACATAAAATAATAATTACTATGACTTTGAACACAATCTTTTTTTTTTTTGGGGGGGGGGGGGGGGGGGGGGGGGGGGGGGGGGGGGCGGGGGGAGGGGGTTTACGTTTTGAAAAAATACACGAGAGTATATTTCTATAACCCATATATTTAAAAACATACACGACAATATGTTTCTATCATCGATATATTTAAAAACATACACGATAATATGTTTCTATAATCCAGATATTTAAAAACTTCAAATTTTTTTCTGAGATTAGCTGGTGTAATTTAAAACGGTAGAGGCCTCTTAGCTTTGTAGTTTTTAAGGCCTCATCAATTCTAAACCCGGTCCTGAGTAAGTGACAAGCGTTTGCGTCCTGGGAGCCTGTGACGAAACGACCTCTGTGGTTTCAGAAGTTAGTACTTGTAATAATTTCTTCTGGTTATAGAGAGACGGAGAATTATATTTGCTATGCACTAAGCCCGAATCAAGTACTAAAACCACACGCATTTAATTATTACCGGTCCTTGGGCCAGACAAAGCAGCCCAGCTTTGTGTAATATTACCTAACATTACCTTAGCTAGCGATTCGTTTTGTAGGCAGACTGTGAGGGCGAGCAACTAAGAACTAATTATCACACCTGAGATTATCACCCAAGAGCCAAGCCTTAGTGTCATAAATGTTATATAACACAGACTGAGTGGGGTCTTTTTAACAAAGCAGATCAGGGGAATTAAGTGGTTTGGTAGACAACTCCAGACCTGACAGCGTTCCCTGGACAGTTTTTCACACCTGGAGAACAGATGTTTACCAATTAAGAATGTGTGATCTTATAAAAGCCGTTCCCTTTGATTAACATGCCTATTGATAGCTATTTTGATCTGCAAGGTACCTCAGGGGCGTGGCTTAGGTCATCTCCTTGAGTGTATGGTAGAACCTAGTAAGGGTAGGAGTTTAACCTTGCAGACAGATAGATGTACTACTAGCTTCTTGACTTTACCTCATAGTGCCGCCAGCAGGCCACAAACTCAGACCTACAGTAGAAAGTATTTCTCACTGGTTGAGTCTTGTTTGGCAATTGCTGGATCCTTTCCAGGTATGAGTGTATATTATTTTTAATCTTTTATTCATAGGTTAGGCGCTAGCTTAGTTTATACTTCCTTTCCTTATTTTTCTAAACATTTTGCTTGAAATAGTTCTTGGTTAGTATTCAGTTACCTCTGTTAGGGAACTGCTAAACTATTCCTATTTCTTGTATGTTTGTGTCACATGTTTTTCGGTGTATGTTTTCAATGTGCATAAAATAAGATGTCACTGTTTGTGTAAACACAACAAACTGACGAATTTCATTCAATTGTTAGTAAATAAAGCTGTATGTCAAGTTTTATACGACATCGTTTGTTAAATTCCAAGAGTATTAAGTATTACCTGTTTAACTAAGCAGTCAGATACAATTACATTTGGTGGAAGCTCATAATAATTCTATACCAGGAGAGGAGAAAGTCGGAGGGGTTAACTGTGTATCTTGATATCTCATTGGGTTCATCTTGATATCTATCTATTCCTTCTCCAACTCCCGTGGGTACTAAGTGCAGCTATTGTGTATTTACATGACGAGTCAAATATGGCTGTTTTCTTGGATATCCAGGACCTTGTCTGAGATCAACATAGCTCGGATAATAGTCTAGTTTCTCTGGTGGAGATAAAGTGTTGAGAGGTAAACTCCTACTCATCACAAAAGCATCTATCCAATTTGGGACCCGCGACAGAGCCAACAGAGAGAAGAGGACGATGACTTCGTTAAAGTGACACTTACTTATATTGCGATGGATATGTGCCTGGATCTTTAGCTGATGGGTCTGATAGGAAGCGCTCCTGTCTGACATGAATCACCGAGTGATCGTTGAAGTCCCGTATGACTGTCACCAAAGGATAGTTGGTCTGATGTATCCATGTATCCATGATACCTTTGACGTCAAGATCATGGCCCCGTCTCTTTGCCTCCTGTGGAAGATGTGATTATTGTATAGGATTTCAGGTGTGCAGTTTTACCACCTGAACGTGCTTCAACCTGAGCGACTTTTCTATGTTCTTTGTTTTCTTCTTCTTCTTCTTCTTCTTCTTCTTCTTCTTCTTCTTCTTCTTCTTCTTCTTCTTCTTCTTCTTCTTCTTCTTCTTCTTTTTCTTCTTCTTCTTCTTCTTCTTCTTATTATTATTATAATTATTATTATTATTATTATTAATATTATTATTATTTTCAGTTTTATTTTCAGAGTTTGCTCTAACATGGGCGGTTGACAGGTTGTATAGTAGTTTACGAATTTGAAACAGTAGCCACAAAACCCGACCAACCAAAGGAAATGTTTAAAACAATGTCAAACAATACCCAGCCAGCTAAGATCGTTAGGGCGGGAGGAGGGGGGGGGGAGAGGGGAGGGGGACCTCTTAATTGATAATGCAGTACGGAGAAATGTTCATTCCCGGTGGCGGATTCACCTTTAGCATAGCAACATCGCCCGAAGTGGCATCTGGAATGGTATAAATGTATGATTATGAGAATAATACTTGGTCAAGACAGTTGGTTGCTTATCCTTTACAGGACGTTGCAGAACCAACCCCAACAGCCCCTGGCTGTTGTGTGGTTTTTCTAGGCAAATTTACGTCCAGTAGTTTGCCATTGCTTCCTGGACGGTCGGCTTTCTTGATACCAATGTCGACTCCAACGCAAGGCGCATAGCCCGCAGCTGGGATAGAACCCGGCATTCCTGCATTACGAAGCGTTCGCATCAACTTAGCCACAGAGCCGACTGGTAAAGCAAACATTACAAAAATTAGTGGGTTCGTATTGTACAAAACCAGGCGGTCTTGGGCGGGGAAAATATATGCTTAATTCAGGTGAAAACCCTGTTTCTGTCAGGTTATAGCGAGATCAGTTGCTCCCACAGAGAAGGATTCTCCTGATAATGTCTTTACTAAAAGCAAATCCAAGCTAACAAAGCAAATCATTTACCTGGGTCATTTCTTCAAAGAGATCATCGTGGGTAAATGTACCGAGCCAGTGATTCCGGACCAAATTCTGAAAATATGGAATTGACATCAGCTGACAGAGTATTATCTTTCTGTCTGTCTGTCTTTCTGTTTGTCTGACTGTCTGTCTGTTTGTCTGTCTGCTAGCTGTCTGTCTTAACTACCAGCGGGATTGTTCGTCGATTTTATTTGAATAGGATCTGATAATGCCCTTCTCTCTTATTTAATTATGTGTGTGTATCTGTGTCTGTGTATGTGTACGTGTGTGTTTTTATGTGTTGATTCATTAACTTATAAGTGTGTTTATGTTTGCAGACTGCCTCTCTGTGGTTTTGTAATTAAATATAAACGACCACTGGGTAGCCACCCTGCCATGTAGATAATAAATGATGATAAACTAACGACTAACGTATGTTTTGCTAGTCGTGTTCTGCCTTTCATGGTCAGGTTTTGATCAGACATCAGGTGCAGTCCTTGGTATCTGTTCACGCAGCTGCTTGTATTTGACGCCCTCAGATAGTCCATCTATTCATCGCTTGCCTGGTCGATATAGCGATGTTTTGTCATTGACCTAATTACCTGTGGGTCATCTCAAGGTCTCTAAGGTTTCCCCAAAGCCTGTTCTCAGGTCTACTGGGCGTTGCCTCAGCAGTTCCTCCATAAGAGGACAGTTTTGTAAGACATGATTTAGAGTCTGCTCAGCACGAAGACACTAAAAGAGAGCTGCCTGTTTCATAGATAATTTCCTAGAGTGTTTGTTGAGTCTGCAGCTGTAGTACGTGAGCAAATGTGACTTGGTCTGTTCTATTTGGGAGATTCGGAAAATCTTTTTATTCGAATTTATCACTGAGGCCTTTGACTTCTGGAAAAGAACAGAGGTTGGTAGATGTGTGTTTGATGGCTGTTTTCCTTGGCTAAAGCATCAATACGTTCATTGCTTGTTATGCCACAATGGAATGCAATCAACTGTAGTGGGTTTTTGCCTTTTTCTTTTGACAACTCGAAATTTTAATTTGTTAGAGTCTACATTCATTGGTCACATAGAAAGATATAGAAAACTGCAGTGCACCTTGACAACGAGAAACATACAACAGAGAATAAGCAAATGACAGTCAAGACAAAACGTGCTGAAAAGAATGACGTAATGACAGGAAAGAACATTAACATCGTAAATAATTGACAGAATATAAGAACGAACTCTGTGAAAAAACAGGATTACCTACGGCTTACGGCCAGGACTGTTAGAAGAAGAAAATATTCTGAAGAACAGAAGGAATAAAGCATGTACAACAAAACCTGTCTACTGACCTTGATCGCAGGAAAGAAAACATCATCCCCCACCATTGAGTTCAGCATTCTGATAATGGATGGCGCCTGTAGTACATAAAATTTATCATCTCTTATCATTCTTTCAACATATCATATTCTTGGAGTGCAATAGGCCAGTCAGATTCAAAACGTGACTGAATTTATGTATTTTGTAGACATGGGTAACACTACTCAATTATTTACACTAAATGACATTACAAATAGTTTCTGTTGGCAACCACAGACTTTTGTAAACGTTCAAACATTTGGGGAAAACAACATAGTTTCTTTCATCTGCTTTGTCGCATTGGGTATGGGGTAATCGGCATCATTGAATTATGTCGATTCCTGAAAATCACTATCAGCTTAGCTACCTGTAATTTTCATTTCGTAATTACTAATTTGATTACGCGTCGGCGATTCCGGGAACAGTTGAAAGCAAACTGGTATATCATTTCAACACATCATCTCCACAAATCTTCAATTTACATCATAGCAACTAGTTATATTTAAACAGGAATCAACACATCATCTCCTTAAACCTTCAGTTTATATCCTAGCAACCAGTTATGTTTAAACAGAAATCAACACATCATCTCCTTAAACTTTTAGTTTAAATCCAAGCAGCCAGTTATGTTTAAACAGGAATCAACACATCATCTCCGCAAAACTTTAGTTTATATCCTAGCAACCAGTTATGTTTAAACATAAATCAACACATCAACTCCCTAAATCATCAGTTTATATCCTAGCAACCAGTTATGTTTAAACAGAAATCAACACATCATCTCCTTAAACTTTTAGTTTATATCCAAGCAACCAGTTATGTTTAAACAGGAATCAACACATCATCTCCGCAAAACTTTAGTTTATATCCTAGCAAATAGTTATGTTTAAACATGAATCAACACATCAACTCCCTAAATCATCAGTTTATATCCTAGCAACCAGTTATGTTTAAACAGAAATCAACACATCATCTCCTTAAACTTTTAGTTTATATCCAAGCAACCAGTTATGTTTAAACATAAATCAACACATCAACTCCCTAAATCATCAGTTTATATCCTAGCAACCAGTTATGTTTAAACAGAAATCAACACATCATCTCCTTAAACTTTTAGTTTATATTCAAGCAACCAGTTATGTTTAAAAGGAATCAACACATCATCTCCGCAAAACTTTAGTTTATATCCTAGCAACCAGTTATGTTTAAACATAAATCAACACATCAACTCATTAAATCATCAGTTTATATCCTAGCAACCAGTTATGTTTAAACATAATTCAACACATCAACTCCCTAAATCATCAGTTTATATCCTAGCAACCAGTTACGTTTAAACATAAATCAACACATCAACTCCCTAAATCATCACTTTATATCCTAGCAACCAGTTACGTTTAAAAAGGGATCAACACATCATGTCAAGAAATATTCAGTACACATTCTCCTAAATCATTATTTTAGTAAAGTCAACACCCTTTTTCAGTCCTTCCGGCTTATTGGGTATATAGGGCTAGACCCATATTTTCTTGACCAAACGGAACTTGGTGGGTCAGCATCACGCCAGTCGCCTTTACTCAATAGGACTTTGCCTGGTACCCACTTGAGGCTGGGTCAACCTGCGAGCCAAAGTCATGTTTGAAAACGTCCGACCCTCGTTAGGACCCGAACCCACGACCTTCTGAATCGCAGGCAAGCATCTAGCCGCTAAACCACGGCGGCTCCCCCATTATGTAAGAAATGTATAATTTAGAAAGTAAGTCCTTGAGCATCCAAACATCCAGTCCATACCTGCTCAGATCCCCTTTTCAGTAAATCTCAATGCGTGTAGCGGCTGGCGACCAGTTTTGTGTTGGTCTATTTTTCTTGACTTTCCTGCATAGTGATTTTGTCGAGCCATATCCTTTTGTCCCCTGCTGTGTGATCAAGGTTGCAGATTTCACAACAGCTACCGTTTGGCTCCATTTTCTGTAAAATACCTACCCAGGTTGATTGTGGCCTCAAGGTACTCTTATATTCCTGTTCGTGTGTCTATCTATCTATTCAGCATCGAGTCGGACATATTCAACAGGGCCAGTCTGACTAATGGTATTCTCAACGCCCCCCCCCCACCCCCCAACCCTATCTAACTCCGCCTTTCTTTAGGCGCCTACATTTGGTGCAACCTGGCTAATGGTATTCTCCGCTTCCCCCTAACTTCGCCTTTCTTTAGGCGCCTGCATTTGGTGCAATCTGGCTAATGGTATTCTCCGCTTGCTCCTAACTCCTCCTTTCTTTAGGAGCCTACATTTGGGCAGATACATGCAGCTGTGCAACGGGTATATTACCTCAGCAGCAACAGCCAGGTATATCTTCACCCAGAGAATCCTTTGCCTAGTTACCATGTCTGTCTGGTTGAAGATCAATGACATGACATGAAGTGTATCTCATGGTTTTATGTTTCTAGTCTGTCTAGCTGACGTCTGCTGACTGTGAGGTGGCCAAGTTGATGGATGATCACTGACAGATCCAAATCCCGATAAGCAGCAGTATTCCTTGTAAGCTGCTACCACCACCTTGAGAGCCTCAGGGAATTTATTCGCTTCTATAATGACATCATCGACGAGCTATGGGAAGGACAGATGTAGATTAAAGTGGATACTGAGATATTTAAGGTCTAGTGACCTGTCCATGTCATCTCCACATATACTCACATTGCATCTTGACAGCTCTGTTGTTTAGTGAAAACGCCGTTACTGTAGCCTTGGCTGGGTTACACAAGCCTCTGATTCCTCAAACTATCTAGTCAGTCTGTCAAGTTCCTGCTGCAAATAACCTCTCTGTCTGTACCCTACGTCAGTACATTATCCGCAAAGGACATAGTGCGTTACTATCTCGTTACTGGTAACGTATAATCCCCGCCATGTATACATTCAATAGAATAGGCGACACCTAAGGAAGCCCTGTTATGAAGGTCCACTGTTTCGACCTCCATGTTATGCATTGAACACCACCGGTCTTATAACCGCTGATCCAAAGAATTAAGGTTCTATCAATCACTGAGGGGCCGTGTTCAATACCATGTTGGTCACTTTACTCCCTATTACTTTACCTTCTAACAATTTAACACCGGGTCGACACAGCAGCCAAAGTCTTTTTAGAAAAACAGCTAATCCTGCATGTGGATTCAAACTCAAGACCCTCGACCGCAGGTGAGCGTCTAGCCCCTGTGTCGGCGTCTAGCTTACCGCGGCTCCAGTAAGTGCAGAGGTAATCCTGGAAAGGGAGAGATGAAGAGGGGGGGGGGGGTGTTCACATGTCTCCCAAATTCTCCAAAGATTGACAATTGTTGAGTCTAGCACCGTTTGATGGATGCGATTATGATCAGAAAAAAAGCATTAGCGTTCTGGCTCTGTCTTTGGGAGGTGTTCAGACTCTAGGAGTTATTTGCTTACTTTTATGGTTCTCCATGTGGGAGATATTTGGACTCTCTGTGTTTGCTTACCTTTCAGGTTATCTCTCTTGGAGGTGTTTTGAGTCTATGAGTTGTTTGCTTACCTTTCTAGTTCTCCCTTTAAGAGTTATTTAGACTCTATGAGTTGTTTGCTTACCTTTCTGTAAGCGATAACGTCAAACATGTTTGCGATGTGCCCTGGTTT